GGTGCTCTCCAAGTTCCCAAAGGTACTGTTTAGTAAATAAAATAAGTTATCACTTTGTAAAGTTTTCTTCAAAACAATTTGTGAGAACAACGATAAGACGATAATGAAACAAGTATTATTGAGGATTGTTGGTAGGGAGTCACACATTGGCTAATTAAATAAATAATCATGCGTTTATAAGTAAGGAATACATCTCCATTGGTATGTGGCATTTTGGGGAAACTAAAAGCAAAACAAGAAAACTTATACTCAAAGTGGACAATATCATACCATTGTAGAGGTTCGTGATTCCTGACATGGTATCATAACAATGCCCTTAACTTAACCATGTCAATAAAATTCTCAAATGTCGAACAAAGAAGTTGAGTCTCGAAGGTATAGTCAAAAGTGTCAACCAAATGGTGTACTTTATTTGAGGACTCCAGAGAAGGAGTTAAACCTCGATTAAAGTGAGGTTGTTCGAGTGCTTCATAAACCTCAAAGGAGGCTCTATAGTATACTTTGTTCGATGGGAGGATTGTTGGGAGAGAGTCCTACATTGGCTAATTTAAGAAATGATCATGGATTGATAAGTACGGAATATATCTCTATTGGTACGAAGTTTTTTTTTGGAGAAACTATAAGCAAAGTCACGAGAGCTTAGACTCCTAGTAAACTTTCATAAAAGTTTAGAAGAAAAGCGCGAAGTACCTAAGAGTCATGAGACCCCAAAAGATAGGAAAAAGGATCTTCTCCAAGCGACTTTGGTTGACAACAAGCTGAACAGTCCATTTATAAGCTCCATAATTAAAGTTGTCAGCAGTATCCAAACACATGAATTTCGGTTGCCTGTTATTCGCCCAATCAAATCTTGCACTGTCTCTCCCCATTCCCATCTTGGTGGCTCCATAAAAGATACGATCTTTGCATGACAACAGCCTCACCCCACAGCTGCTCGTGGCTCTGCATTGCTCTTTAAGGCACTTGGCTGCTCTTTGCACACCCAACAGGTACCAGCATGCGCCTGCAGCCTGCATTCAGACAAGTTTAATAAGAATCGTGTTATGAATCACAAATCTCCATAATGATATGATATTATTCACTTACGTGAGCAGCAACAAAGTAAGCAATGAGATTGAGGGCAATGCCCCACCAGACCGTGCCAAAGATGAACCCCGACAGGTTTTGGAGGCGCCGCAGCAGGCATACCGAGTGGTACAATTTGGGTAAGTATTGAAATAGAAATACTATTAGCAAAACTGTCATCACCAATGTCACTGATCCTTCTTTCATTATTCTTGGAATTACTACCCATAATACCACCTGCAAATATGCACATTTTTACTTATTCTAAAAATTTTAAATTAATATTAATTTTTGAAAATATATTTATATTAAAAATGATTGATTATCCAACGGTCAGGAATTCTTCACAGATTTTAAAATTAAATTTTTTAAAAAAAAGATCGAATCCCAATAGATTCCCGAATTAAAAAAAAAAACATAATTATATTCGTCTGCCCAGAATCACATGTTCGTCTGCCCAGAATCAGAGTTTCATAAACACCACATTCTATTAATTCATGTAAATAAATAAAATAAAAGAAAAAATTTATTTAATTCTAGACATTTTTCAGTTTTTTTTCTAACAATTATTTATTATGTTTAGCAAATTTTAAATTTGGATAGTATTTTATTAAAATAAAAGTAAAAACATTCCTAAAGATTGTTGGTTATGAAATTTATTTATATTATTATATGCATGATACCTGTGGAAGTGGAAGAATAACGAAGAGATCAAAGAAGAAGCCTTTTTTGGATTTGAAGTAGCGGAGAGCGACGGCGCGTGGGGTGGAATCTCTAAGGCCTCTATTCTCCGGCGTGGCTGCGGTGCCAGCTCCACCGGCGAAGGAGTATCTTGTGGCAGTCTTGAGCTGGAGCCACATGTTCCAAAGGTGGAAGGCGTCGGCGGTGCAGCGGAGGACGGTGACGGTGATGGCTAACCACCCATCAACAAACAAGCACATCCATGACTCGCTTATGGAGAGCGTGTAGAGGAAGAGAGGGTCCACGAAGAGGCCAGCGGCGGAGACGAGGAGGAAGACCCGGTTCCATTCTCGGACCCATTTGGCTCTCGGGTCGAGAACCGAGCCGACTCCGTAGAGGCTCCGGCAGAAGCCACCATCGTGTTCTTGTAATTCTTTTTCTACTTCGTCGTCGTCGGAGGTGGCCATGGGAGGAGGGAGGAGGAGATTGGAGAGACGTGTAGTGATTTGTTTGTTGTTGTTGTGTGGTGTTGTATGTGAGAGTGTCAGTTTGGCGTGGAGGGCATAATCGACAAGGATGAATTATTACAAGAGGGGAAGTACAGCCAAACCCTTCACTGATTTCATCCATAAAGACAATTTTGGTCTTAATTGACCAATTTATCCTCCTCTCTCTCTCTCTCTCTCTCTATCTCGACATTCGATCGACTTTATCCTCATACCTACAAAACCGGCCTAGTTGCTCAACACAGCTTAGCCGGGGCCAGCATATACGTATGAGGACGAGTATCTCAATTGTTTGATCGCTATAGATGATCTGGAGAAAAATATGTAAATGAGGATACGATGATTTAGCAATATATTGATTAGGTGATTGAACTTATACATCTCAACAGCTTCAACTATCAGTTATATTCTTCTGATAGGAAATTATGACCCATGTCAAATTCTCTCAATCAACTCAACTGAATTCACTGAATCAGCTTAAAAATGGTCCAATGTTTAGGGCTGAATCTAGGACCACGAGCTGACGAACCATGTAGGCTGCTGAAGCCACATGGGTTCTACACATGACTGAACACCCTATAAGACCCATGCAAGAAATCTACGAAGCGAATGAGCATTGATGGATGAACTTGATCTAAGCACGAGATATCAAAATATGTTAGGACACAAAGGTGTGAATATCTATTTTGCAGCTCAAAACCATGATGAACTTATTTCTCAGCAGCAAAGATTTTGTCTTTACCTTTGAAATCTTTGATGAAATTGACACTGCCCATTTTTTTTGCTTTCTAGCATATTTGGTTGAGAAACGACAAATTTCTCAGTCAAACTTTCATACCATCTTACCTTTTAATTCTGTTAAGAATGAACCTCTACAATAATATGATACAAGACTTTTGACTTTACCTTTGGTTTCCTCAAAAAGTCTTATATCAATGTAAATGTATTTCTTATTTATAGACTCGTGATCTTCTCCTTAAATGTGTAACAACAGAATGTCCCACTCATAATTTTAACAATTCACGGGAGTTTTACAAATTAATATACCTAGACAATAATTTTGTTGAGTACAGAAAAATACAAAATTGAATTTGTAACAAATAATAGGAAAATGAATTAAAAAAAAGAAGGTAGTAAAGGACATTTTTGTGACGGGGATAGGAGGAAAGTGAATAAAAGGATATTCTCCTGTTTTCATAATTCAAAATTATGCCTTCTTATTTGTCTTTTCATTCCAATAATTGAACTAAACAATAGAAGCTCTATTATTATTATTTTTTTTCAATTTCCCTTCAAATCTTCACACAATCTGAAAAATAATTATACGCTTCATCTCTTTGAGGGCAAATAAAATTACTAATTTAGAATTTGTTTATGTTAAAATTAAAATGTGTACCGAACTACCCTAAGTTCTCAAAAATAAGATTACGAGAGATAATAAACTTTAAGAATCTATGAAACCTTAAGATGAGCTCGATTGGGCGAGCATAGTTAGTTGTAGGGTTCTGAAAGTGTATTAAGAGTTAAGAATGATATATAAGTGAAGGTGAAACACAAGTTTGCAGCCAAGGTAAGAACATACACTTGCTATTCTCTATATCCAATCTAAAAAATGAAAGAATTGATTGAATGGTAATCAATTGAACTATTTATCATCGAACAAGGATAGAATCGGCCCGTTGATGAGGCTTAAGAAGAGAGGGGAAACCATAAAATTAAATAAAAAAAGAAAAACAACGAAGGCCAATATGATTCAAATGCGTGGTAGGGGTGGGGAAGGGGTAAGTAAGGTAAGGGAAAGGGACAGGCGTTAGGGGCTTGGCTCTATTATGCATACAAGTTAAACAACTGACGTTCTCTGAAGTTTCCTCGGTTCTGTTTGTTTTCCATAACAAGAAGATATGCATAATCAAAATCCCATCTGTTTCATACTACTCCTTCCCCCAAAATATTTCACTCCCAAAACACTCCCTCCCTCTTCTCTCTCTCTATGGAACAACATTAAATGGCTACCATCATGCCTACCTGTCACTTCTACCACCGCTTGATGCATTGGCCATCAAACAACTACAGAGTAACCTGTCCTTTCCAAAATATGAACAAATTGCCATAAACATAGCCATTATATTTTACCATTTCTCCTTCCTACATCTAACAATCATAAAAAAGTAGTGCTCATAACAAAAATAATGTACTACTTACAATAGTAAGCACTACAAGAGTTGCATTCAACCTAACCTAAATAATGGAGTACTTAATCAAAATAAGCACAAAATGAGATTATTAGATGGAGCATTTTGATTTTCATTGTGACTTGACAACACCTACACTTAATAACAGAAAAAGAATGAGAAAATTGGAAAAAGGGGCCCTAGTTTCCAGGACAATGTGGTTCAATGTGGTCCATAGAGGACAGCCGCATCTTGAACCCCAGTTCGGTATGGTCTTTATCTGATCACCCACTCAATATGGAATTTAGTTTCGGCAGGACATAAACGTTAATCCTATACCACTTTTTAAGGATACTAGATATCAAAAAGAAAGAAAAGAAAAGCAACAACATTTGGCCACTTTACTCACATGCTGTAAGTGGCAAAAAGCAAAACACTTCTACACAAAGAGCATACATGAGCGTAACTTCACAAATGATTTCTTAGACTGAAACTTCTTAAGGGATTTGGTGAAGGCTATCTCAGCTAAGAAGGTTTCGTGAATTCGTGTCCAGAAACCAAGATTTGAATAGCTATGTTTAGGTAAACTTGAATGCCAAAAACATTCTTAATATCAGGTCAGTGACAGTAATCAGACATCAATATCATCTTATACAACCTATTTCTCCAAGTTGGCATTTCAAAAAGACAGTTACAATACCATTTGCATGGGTCAAAAATGAATATTAATTTGAACCCATAAGAATGGAACTTACTACCGCAGGCTGGAAAACCGAAGGAAAGAGATTTGGTTGCCTCCCCATTGACTCCTTTTGTATATACGCGTAGAGATGTCATTATGTACAGACTCCTCTCAACGGAAGTATACCCTTTTGCTTCCATTTCCCAGACTTTTTCCTTCACTTGGATGATACTTTTTGGCCTGCTGCTGTAAAAAGTATAAAAGGGGTCATAAAAAGATGTTAATAACATAACTTCAAAGATATGGCGACCATTAGGCAAAAGACACTGAAAAACAAACAGTTTTGTAAACATTTTCCCTTAATTGCACCGACTTGTTTAGTTCACATAATCAAAGGACGCTTTGTCCAGAAGTTGAATCAAATGAAAATTGATGCATGGAGGATTATCAGACCACGATGATGATATGCGTAAAAATCTGGTCAAATAGCACCGGGAGAATGATATATGCCTCACAATTTGTTAAACAAAATATATCAATGGACATCTGAACAAATGATCTACTTGTTAATATCATCCAAATTGTTGTTATGATCTTCAATTCATATTCAACTTCAATTCAATTACTACTTATTCCAAAAGATGATGCGAGAATGGATTACTATATTTTAACATCAACAAAACGAGCATGATAAAACTAGTTGAAGCCTACAATCCTTTTACCTTCGAGCTAACTACACTTCGTCCACCAAGTCTTTGTGGAACCTTATGCTCTGTCCTTTTCTGATCCTTGACCATACTAAAAGTAGAAGGGTCTCTACCATTGCATTTCTGACTCACAGCAATTCTCCTTATTGCATTCTCCTTTCCAGCTACTACTGTCTTGCATCTTCCTATTCCATCTAAACTTTCCTTTTTCTTTGGCTGTAAACAAGTTTTTTGAAGGTTTCTTTGCTGTAGTAGAGGAGCTTTTGGACGAAGTATCTGGTTGAAGAACAAACAAGATTTAAGTACATCTCCCTGACATTGTTGAGAAAGGATGCACACTGAAAAATCAAAATTTTCAATACCTTTTCTCTGACAGAAAAATGATTGCAAGAAAACCATAAGTTTTGCCACATAGATATCTCAATATCAAATTTTAACTAACAGCTTCTCACCTTTGGTTTTGAAGACTCAAGGTGGGCGAGCTTAGTGGGCTTAGCATAGAATTTACTAACTCTTCTTGAGTTGGAACTCGCGTCCTTCACTGGAATCTTTAATGTGCTCGAGAAAACACTTGAATCTTTGGATTTGTTTATTGCTGTTTGAGTCATCCTGGAAAAGTTTCCAACACCTACACTACTTTTCAGGTGTTGTTCTGATGTATTGGTGATGCTTTTAGCATCAAAACCAGGATTCAAAGAGGAGCATGTGGTGCTTGAATTACTCGAAGAAGAGTTATGGCCACTTGACTGTCTTTGACAGTTATTAACCTCCAATCTCGATACTTGTCTATTGGCACAGCTTTTCCTGAGACTTCTCCTCATATCTGACAAAAGTCTACTAGACATGCTCAATGGTTGGCTTGTTACCTCCGTTGCCTTACATTGTTGTTGACGACCCAAACCAGTTATGATAGTGCTGCTAGTTCTGCTGTCAGCTGGCTCCTTTCCCTCTGAACTCGAACCAGTAACTGAAACGTTTGGCCTGGAGTTTTCGGTTAAACAGCTTGCATAAGAAACCAAACTCATATTTGAACTCGAAATTCCTTTTGAGTCTGTATAGCTCAATTTAGTGGCTGATCCTGAACTCAGCTTCTCACTTACAATATGCTTGTCCATTGCAAAACCTTGACAGCTGCCTTTGCACTTCTTGTCCTCAAAGTCCCCTCTTGATCTTGAGACAGAATTGGGAAGGTTCAGAGAAGAAGACACAGATATTTCAAAATTTAAAGTCCTTTCCTCGAAGAGCTGAGAAAATGCTAATTTCAGGTCATGAGAGGAACTTTGGTGGACCCTGATATGTATATTTGTTTTTTTGAAGGAAAACACAAAGAACTATATCATGAAAAGTTTATACTTTCACATCAACTCTGTAAATGAAAAAACTCTAAGGGCGCTTACGGATGGTGTGTAAAGAACCATTTATCATCACTGCAATCAAAGTAAAAGCGTAGGGGGAATTAGTATGATGAATAATTCAAATGAAAATCATGATACTAAATGCATATTAAGCTGACATTTACATTGACCAATTGTATCAGGTACTCACATGTTCTGATTGTTGGACCTCCCTTCTAAGGTGAGATCAACCCACATGGGTGCTTCAATTTCTTCCTGACTCAATCAGAAATTACACACCAAAAAAAAGCCTCATTATATAACACCTTTGTTTATTGTTATCAGTTTTGAAAAATCATGCTTATTCACCAATCTCCTCCATAGTTTTCCTAAACTAATTTCAAAACAACTGTTCAAATCATAGGAATCTTTTAGATCTAAAACAAGTAGTTTCTGAACCGGTTTTTCGTTATTTTAAAACTGGCGAAGATTTCAAGTATTTAAAAAGAAACATAAGTATGCTCGATATCAATCCCAAAAACGATGAATAAAAATTAAACATCACATAGACGCGTACAATGTGTAAACCAATATCAGTCATGATCATCGCCTCAGTCTCTAAACATTTTGATTCTCGATAAGAGATTCTGAATCATTAAAACCGAAGCAATTTCCCGTAAAATCGAAGATTATCTTCCCCGCTTCATTCCCAAACACAATTAAAATGAAGAGAAACATGGCATGGATACAGAGGACATTTGATTAACCGAAAACAACATAACGTCAACCAATTACTCGAGAAACCTGAGATCAAAATGGAAAACCTAGGAAATTAACATTAAAAAACCAATCAATTCTCCACAAAAAAGAGGAATAATACAAACAAAGAACAAGAAATAATATGAACGAATTAAACAAAAATGTGAAAGAGAGAATGAAGATAACCAATCAAATATCCGTTTCCCCTAGAAAAAAAAAAGTAAAAGAAAAAAAAAACGAGAGAATCGAAGAATAAGAAATGAACTCAAGAACGAGAGAAGATACCAGGAAAGCCCAATGATTATTGGACTTGATGAGCACCATTTTTGGACGCAGAAGTTTTCTGGAATTGAAGAAACCGGTCGAATCCTTCGGCTCCCTCACAGGAATAAAATGAATGGGGACGTGAATGAAAATATAGAGTTATATTCACGACGTTTTCTGACGGTCTGATTTGCGAAGTTTTCTGATTCAGTGGATGAAATGGACGGTGTAGATTTCATCTGAATTCCCGTTGCATGGTTTGGAGATGTTTAAGGAACTGCGCGGTGCGTGGAAACATTTCATTAACAAATTATTTTTGACCGTTGGAAATTTCAAACTGCTGGACAGCAAATTACGTTATTGCCATAATTAGTTAAACACCCACTTACTTTTTAAATCTATGGTTATTTTCTATTTATTTCTTCCTTTCTAAAAATAAAATTAAAAACTTTGTAAACGTTACTATGAAAGAGATTCCACTTATTTTTTTAAAAATACGAAATATATATTTTTATTATTATGATGTAATTTAATATGACATTAGACGGGGATAGTTCAGTTGGGAGAGCGTCGGACTCAAGATCGCGTGTTTGACCCACTCTCACCGCATATGTTCGTACTATTTCGCTTCCAGTGTATATTCTTCATACGACGTCGTCCCATCATTGCCCATATTATGATCCAGTCTATTAAAAAAGTTTTCAATTGTAACACATGAAAAATTAAACACCTTGCGGGGATAGCTCAGTTGGGAGAGCGTCAGACTGAAGATCTGAAGGTCGCGTGTTCGATCCACGCTCACCGCATAATATTGTTTTATTTTCTTCCCGTATAAATTCTTCATACGGCGTCGTCTTGTTGGTTTATTTTATTAATTTAAATCCATTAATCGAATAAGCGGTGCAAATAAATGATATGTAATAAAATTGCACAAAGTTTTAATGATAAACAATTGGTATGATATTTAAATTAAAAAATTAATTATATCCGTTATTTTTTAAATCAAATAAAGTATTTTCTTCGAAATATATATATATAAGATATTATTGAAAATTTTGAAAGTTTAGGAATATTATTGAGACAAAATACAAAATTTATAGATATTTTTATTAATTTAGATAATAAAATAATAGAAAGATGAAATTATTTACAAATGAGCTGACACCATCAACCTTGAGTGGGATCACTCAGTTGGATTTTGGAGATATAAGGGTTTGTGTTTTATTCAAATTTAAAAGAAGGTTTTGTCGATATTAATATTAAAATTAAATGACATGACTTACCATGATAAACAATTTTATATATTGAAATTATTGAGGCTCTCAATATATAAAAGAACCGAGTAGATAAAAAATCGGAGAAATATAAGATATTGGTCTAGTCCAACCTCTATAGCTCATGTAAGCCCTTCATGTCAATTACTCTATCAAGCCTCGTCTGAAAATGAAATTGAAATAGCAAGAATGAGTATAAAATACTCGGTAAACAGCTTGAAGTACTTAATTCGTTCTTAAGTCCTGTGAAATTTTGTTTCTTTTGTTTGTTCGTTTGATGTATTATTCTTACTTAGGAGTTTATTCCCAATTACAAGTTCTTCCTATGCCACACCTTACGTGTATTCATTCACCTAAGCTCAACTTAGGTAAATAAGCGAAAGTAATTAAAGTCTCATTTTTTTGTCCTATCTAGACCTTTGGAACTTGGAGTTCATCTTAAGTTCTTACGGTACCTCAGATCATCGTTATGATAGTCCCTTATATCATCATCATCTGTTTAGACCTATATCATAGGGCCTCGAAGAGTCACCCTGACATCAGTTCCAACCCATAATCCTCGTCTCACAAAGGAGGTAGCTACTCTTTACTAACAAGTTCTCATCTACCTGTGTAATCTCTCGCTCTCACCTGAATAAAATCACGATTAGTGGTTGTGAATGTCGCATGAGTGGAGTTAGAAGACTCAAGGGAGCGCTAGAACAACTCAAAACTTGAGATTAACTTTGCAGAACAGGGGGAGAGGTGAGATCGATCTGAGCATTAGAAAAAGTTGAAAAATCGGTCTCGAGTCCACAAAGGAACCAATACATTTTATCAATGTTCTCGACGGGTCTGCTAATGGCATGAAACTAGTCACAAATTGTTTAGAAGTTACAAGCATACTCAACAACATGTTTGGTGCTGTGTTTCATGAGCTGCAAGTCATCCTTGATTCTCAATTCACGGGCTTTGGAATGATGGTTGAATGTAGTCTCCAACATGAGTCAAATGTCACGGGTAGTGGAGAAACCAATGACGACAACAATAACTTCCTCGGTAAGAGAAGAGAGCAAGAGACAGAGAATTTGTTGATCAGGTTCTTTCCACGCCAAATATTTGGTGTTGAGTGTTGAGGAGGTTGCTAGTTCAAATCAAGATGGTGAAACTAGAGTTTCATGAACGTAGACCAGCATGTCTTGACTCTTAAGAAAAGAGAGAAGTTAAGCTTTTCTAAAAAAGATAATTGGAGTAAAAGAGCTTGATGGTGATATGAATTAGAGAGATGAACGGAAGAAGATGAAGGTTGCTAAACCAGACCGGGTCTTATACCATAAGCATATATGCTAAAATCACATACCAAAAGGGGTGAGAATTCTCTATTTATAACTTAATCAAATAAATTACAATAGAGGAAAGAGTAATAAACAGATATACTATATTAGCCTATGATCAAGAGTCAAATATGATACATATAGTAAATCGTAATGGTAGGCTAAATATTCTCAAAATTCTCCATCCATCAACGTTACTTAGCAACATAGCCTAATTAGATACCCAAAGATCTCGAAAACCCATACCCCGAGTTCCTTGCAATATAATGTTCCTCTAACTCGACAATGAATTTTTGTACCATGCTAGAAGAGTTCCACGGTAAATCACACAAGACATCTAATTTTTTACTAAACGATTCTCGAACTTGAAGCGAACTCATCATACAGTTTCATAAATTTTTTTATTAATTACTAATTAGGGTTTAAACCTAATGAGAAAAAAAAGGAGGAATAGATCAAATGTGGATAGAAAGAGATGAGTTGGAGATGCATAAAAATCTTTAGAAGGAATGTGATTGGCTAACTAAACCCTCTCATTACCCCAACATATTTTCTGAATCTTCCATTCTTCACCACTCATCTTCCCCATTTTCCCATCATATTCCCCCACTTTCCCCCCTCTCTCTCACAGTTCCTCACACCTTTCCAACGCACAACTCAAAAGAGAAATGGCCGCCACCGCCACCGCCACCGGCCTCCTCCGGGCCACCCCCTTTCTGGGCCAGACCAGATCCTCCCCACAGAACCCCCTCAGAGATGTCGTCGCCATGGGAACTCCCAAATACACCATGGTCTCACTCACTCTGTAAAATTAAATTTTTGCTCTGTATTTTGTGCTCTGTTTTTTGGGGTGTTAAGATTGATGGTGTTTGAACAGGGAAATGATCTGTGGTATGGGCCAGACAGAGTCAAGTACTTGGGACCCTTTTCAGCTCAGACTCCCTCCTACTTGAACGGTGAGTTCCCCGGCGATTATGGATGGGACACTGCCGGCTTGTCCGCCGATCCCGAGGCCTTTGCCAAGAACAGAGCTCTCGAGGTAATTTCATTTCCAACCCAATTCTTAACTTTAATTTAATTTCATTTAAACCCACTAATTATTCCAAAATTAAATGGATTTCAGGTGATCCACGGGAGGTGGGCCATGCTGGGAGCCTTCGGTTGCATAACACCGGAAGTCCTAGAAAAATGGCTGAAAGTGGACTTCAAGGAGCCGGTATGGTTCAAGGCCGGCGCCCAAATCTTCTCAGAAGGGGGGCTGGATTACTTGGGGAACCCAAACCTGGTCCACGCGCAGAGCATCCTGGCCGTGTTGGGCTTCCAAGTGGTCCTGATGGGACTGGTTGAAGGGTTCCGCATCAATGGCCTGGACGGCGTGGGTGAGGGCAACGACCTCTACCCAGGGGGTCAGTACTTCGACCCGCTCGGACTGGCAGACGACCCCGTCACTTTCGCGGAGCTGAAGGTGAAGGAGATCAAGAATGGGCGCCTCGCCATGTTCTCCATGTTCGGGTTCTTCGTCCAGGCCATCGTCACTGGAAAGGGCCCCCTCGAGAACCTGCTGGACCATCTGGATAACCCTGTGGCCAACAATGCTTGGGTTTATGCCACCAAGTTTGCCCCTGGCTCATAAGTATCATAAAACTGTGTGCTGGGAGGTTTTCGTCCATGGAAATTGAACGAGTTTGTGGTGTAAATTGTTTGTGTGTGAGTGGATGTGATTATTAGAAGGCAGAGAGCATTAAGGTGGATCAATTGGACATTAATTCCCACTTGATCGAAATTGATGTTCTTAATCTTAATTAAATTGCCATTAATTACTCGTGGAGTGTGCAATCTCTAGAGCACGCTGAAAGAGGCACAATCTAATAGTTCCTAAATAGTTTTAATATGATTAACGGTGAAAGAGGCACACTCCATGCACCCGATCAAGATAAACACAAATAACAAGAGAGAAGAAAGAAAATACAAGAAGAATATTGACCAAACCCAGAATCGAGAAAATGAAGAAAACACCCCTAATGGGTATAATATGGTTTCAATTTATAGATACAAGCATCATGCTCCATATCCCAACAAGGGTTTTCTCATCTATTTGTTCGAATGAGAACTACGGATAAGATAAGGAACCACTACAAGAGGAGTAAGATTCGAATTACCTTGTTGATCGAATATCTCAAGACAAGAACATTGTTTGAGATTCGAATCATTTCACAAGCAAGATCGATTATGTCTAGCTTGATTGATTCTTGTTGATCAAATATCTCAAGACAAGAACACTTGATTGAGATTCGAATCACTCCACAAGCAAGATTGATCACGTCGAGCTAACCTAAACTACATAGAAAGAAACTTAGTCATTGGCTAAAGAAGAGCACAAATGCTTCTTTTACATACATTTTCCAAGTCTCTTACAAATACAACATACATGGCTTTATATAGCCTCAAAATGAAACTACTAAAGCCATTCCAAGAGTGGTAACATTCATGCTTAATGACTTTAATTAACCATTATGTAATTATAACTTAGAGTAAATTAAAAGTATTAATATAGAAATACAATAACTCTAAATTACTCTAAATTGTAATCCACCCAAAATTCAAAACATGAAACTCCATTCTTCTTCAATATGGCATGAATTGAAATATCTTTTGATTATTTCAACAATATTTTCTTCCCATCTTCATTGAAGCATATTGTATGATTGATGTCTATTGGTTCATATCAAAGTTTACCTCGCATGAGAAATTTATTTGTTCAAAATTGTTTGCCTACTATTTGAGCTTTCTTTTTTAGGCTTCCTCTTAAGGTTTTTAAAACGGGTTTTACCAATGAGAGGTTTCCACACCCTTCTAAAAAAAAATACTTCATTCTCCTCCAACCATGTGGGATCACACTATCCAATCCTTTTGGAGCCTAGAGTCCTCGCTGGCAGACAGCTCGATGTCTGACTCTGATACCATTTGTAACAGCCCAAGCCTACCGTTAGTAGATATTGTCTTTTTTGGGCTTTTCTTTTCACGTATCTTCTCAATGTTTTTAAAAAGCATCACTAAAGAGAGGTTTCCACACCCTTATAAAAATGCTTCGTGCTCCTCCTCAATCGATGTAGAATCTTTCAATCTACCCTCTCCACGGCCCAGCGTTCTCGCTAGCACCCGTTCCTCTCTTCAATCAGTGTGGGGTCTCACAATTCACCTCTTTTCGGAGTCTAGTGTCCTCGTTGACACTCGTTTCTCTCCAATCGATGTGGGATATGACAACATGTATGAAAACAACTTATAATAGGCTTACAATTATTAAATTTAATTTATATAAAATTTCAATTATTTAGTATAAAGTGATAAATTCACTTAATTTAACTGTTTAATAAAATAAATTAGAAATTTCACGTGCCTGAAACGTTTTAAATATTAGTTTAATAGTCGTTCGGCTTTCGTCGTCATTATCCACTTTTCGGAAGCGGGCCATAGGGCCCAATAAAGCTACAGGCCCATATTATTATTTAATGGGCCAACAAACAGCCCAAATACATAATTCATGTAGTTCAACATTCGACTACAGCTTCTGGCCGGTGAAGCTTCTTCTCGCTTCTTACTTTTTTCTTCCTTAGGGTTTCGTTGTTAGTCTCCTCAGCGCTTATCTCTCAGCGATGGCGAAGAACAAGAATAAGAAGCGAAGTGGGGCTATTTCAATGGACATAACCGAAAATACTGCTCACGAGCTCCCTCAAGGTACGTTTGAGTTGTTTTAGAAGGGAATGCAGATAGTATTTTCAGATAGATTGAGAATTGTATCCTCCAGATGTTTGTACTTGACCTTATTTCTTCACTGATCCTCTTTACGATGTTTCAGAACTCTTCTTTTTTTATAATATATGTTTTCTTTGAGTAGTTTTGAAGTTTTTACTTATTTCCCCTTGAATCTATAGCGATGGACGTGTCTGAGTCTGCAGTTCATAAACCAGCTTCCGGCGCTCTCAATCTGTAAGCTTGTACCTGGGAATTGTGGTTTATTCTTTAATTTCATGGACTGGGACGTAGTTTCACTTTAACGCCAATTCCATTCTGCGCTTTTGTTGTTTTTTGTTTTTAATTCGTGTGCTCTCAGTTCCTGATTTTTGTTATGATTGGCCCAAATTTGTTCATTTTCGGTTGAGGTTGAAAAATTAGGGGTGATATTATAATGGGCATAACTTCTCTGATTAGAGTTAATTGAGCATCTTACCACAAAAAGTAATGAATCAACTCCCTGAAAACTTTTGATTCCATACTGCTTCCTTTGATATGTAGCCACATTACTACTGATTATTATTATAATTGGTGGGTCTCTTGTAACTTTAAATGCTTAGCTACATGGCTAATAATTAGTGAAAACAGAGCGAGGAATACTTCTTGGAAAGGGAAAATGAGGGAAATCCTTCTATGTGGTCTATCTTGATAACATTGTTCAACTTTTTTCATTGAAATTCTATTTTTTATGCCGTTCTTCTCGTTAGATGTGTATGTACTTCAGTGTGTAGAGTGTTTTTCATGTATTTATATTTTCAAAATAACACCATGATAATTTTAATACACTTGAGGAGTACTTTACTCTTGGTTTCCTTCAAGAACATTTACTACAGTAGTAGGAAGCATCTAATGCACCCCTCTAATTTGTTTTTAGCCACCAAACTTATTAATATAGACAACTGTTAGGCCCCCAATTGTAAATGTTTATACTTGAGAGGGTAAAAGGGTAAAGTGGGAGAGTAGGAAGGAGGGGAGGAAGATCAGTTATCTTGGGACTTGTAGAGCGTTTACGGGAGCGAGACAACCCTTTCGAATTGACTGAACTTTGAATGGTGACATTGTCACTTGTTTATCTTTCCTATATTAGTAAAATGTAAAATGGTACTATTGGTTTCTGTTGTATTGAATACAATGCTTTTCAAATGAAAATGAACGCGTGCATGTAAATTGGTATGATGCTCAATTCGTTAATGCCTTGAAGATTATGATTGAAACCCACCCATGTTTTCAAAGACTTTCCTGACGCCTACTTTATTGGCATTTGATCTAGAATTTGCTGAATCCCAGTCAATTACCTGGGGAATGGTTGGATAGTATGCATCTGTTAATACTAACCAAACAAGACAATTCCTTGGGTTTTGATAGTATGCATTGCTGTTTAACTTTAGCTGCTTTTCTAAATTTGGTTTTTATGGAAATTTGAAGCCACCTTTTTCCTGTTTCGGCCACAGACTCTGATCATTACTCATTGTTGTGACAGAAAATTGAAAAAGGGAAGACCAATGAAGCGATCAAAGAATGTTAGGAAGACAATGGCGAAAGCAAAGGCCATATCCAAGAACGAGCAGTCAGCGGAGAAAATATTGAAAAATCAGAGCAAAACTACAAGAATACATTCTGCAAAAACATTGTATGAATGATAGAAATGTGGGTTTAAATTGTAAAATTGTTTTATTTTTGTTCCTTTAATAGGTGTTTATGTTACTTTCACTCATCATTTAGTGTCTCAATCCTGCAACTTCTAAGTTTCCAAGTCACTTGTGAAATCCAGGCTATTCGCACAAATTTGTTTTAGAAAAGGAATTGTCTACTTGTGCAAGTCTATCGTCACTAGCAGGTGGCAATAGCATTAGGAGCTGGAAATTCTTATTCCTTCTTTGGACCACTCAGGTATTACACAAATCCTTATAGACAAATCGTTTATTAATCTTCTCGATTAACAAATTTGTTAAAAGAAATAAAAATATTTTGTGATCTAGTCTTATACGAACTCATTATTTAGAATACACAAACATACTTTAACACGAATGTTTTGGATCAAATCATTTGTAACAATTATAATATGGATTCATATCAACAATGTTATCAAGATAGACCACTTAACATTATCTATATACATGATTTTTGAATATATTAAGGATTTCATACGATAGATATTATTAAATTTTAAATTAAATAATTAATAAAATAAATTCATGGATTGTCAAACAATTCAATGGTTAATGAAAAGTTGGGTAAGATTAAAAATTTAAATTGTCTTATGAGATAAAATGATATTAAAAAAAAAAAAAGATAAAAATATAAATATAAGAAAAATACCAAAAATCTAATTTGAACAAAAATAAAATAAAATATGATGTTGATAGCTAGATTCAAAGAGGATAATTCAAACAAAAAAAAAAAGAAAAAAAAAAAAAGTTTGGACGTGGCTGACTGTAGACCAGGGTTGCGAAAATATCACTCTCCCGCTTTGCTTATTTTTCTTCTTCTTTGAGTTTGTGAGCGGAAGAAAGGTTTGGCGACTGCCACCCACAAAACCCGCCCCCACATCTACAGGGTCCACTTCCTTCAACCCTTCTGAGCATCGGAGGTTCTTCCCCAATTTTTCAAATGGGTTTCCTTATGACCCATTCTGGTGGTTTCGGCATCAATTCCATCAAAATTTCAACCTCCAAACGTTTACTCGGCAGGCCGCCAGGTAATACTTTAATTTGGTTGCCGTTGTCGGTTGAAATGATTCCCTTCTCTGTCTGTATAGCTATGGGACTGGCGATTACTTTTGAACTGTGGGGATGTTTTGATCACCATGTATTCAACTTTCTAATAGAGGCTCACTGGTTTCTTTAGGTAAATATGTCGCCCCTTTGAATTTTCTTGGGGGACAATCCGCTGCTTTGGATCAAACTAAAGATATTGATGAGTTTGTGGAGAGTACAAACAGCAGCAATCATTTTCATGCCATGGCTTTTGTAAATGCCATTTCTGGTAATGCTAATAATTTATCCAAGTCTTTTGAGGATATGGGTTATTCTGTTTTGATTATAGTTTGTTCATTACATAACTATGATTGGCAATTTCATAAGTAGCTGAATTGATATTTCTTAAGCAATTTCATATTCTTAATTTTATTTCATTTTCAATGTTCCCAGCTACAAGTTTCCTTGCAGTAGACGCAGCAAAGGCTGAAAGTTTAGAGCATATGTGGGTAAGAGTTTATAGTCTTCGCATATTCTGTTTTCCAAAGTCACCCAGTGAGATCGACGCGTTTTAAAAACCTTGAAGGGAAGCCCAAAAAGGAAAGCCCAAAGAGGACAATATTTGCTAGCAGTGGGCCTAAGCCGTTACAAAAATCTCAATATCTATATTCTTTTGAGGCTTGATTCCTTTTAAAGATGTTGATTAATATTTTTCATCAATTCCTTCAGAATCTTGATGAAATCTATATGTATTTCTATTTCCCCTTGGACATATAAGAATGGTTAATTCATTATGACTGCAAAAGAAACTGAAGCTTGGTAACAGGTCTGCTCTTTAGCATTACTCGCCATCTTAGTTTGCTTGCTTGAGATGTTGGTCTCTATAAATTGGATATCATGGTAAATAAATTAGTCTGCGTACGTATATTGCTTGGTGTATAACTGTATATTATATCAGGAACTAGAATTATTTTCCTTCAAGTCAGGAAGGAGCTGCTTCTGTTTATACACTGGCTGATGGTGGCATTGGAGATTGGTTTGGAGGCTTCTTGTATTCAGCTGGACAACAGGCTAATGTTGCAGTTCAGGATCAGTTATCTGCTCTTAGTTTTACTAGGTTCAGTCTGGTTTTTCTGCCCTTTACTTTTCATGTCTTTTAATGATTTGAATTTGATAGTAAACGGCTCTTTTCTATTCCTATATACAGTTTGGCAGTAATTTTTGGAGCAGGGTTTGTAACCAGCCTTTCCCCTTGCACGCTGAGCGTTTTGCCTTTGACACTTGGTTACATAGGTAAGCATTTTGTACACTTGTTTTCGAAATTTCAGGATGTTATTTGGTGTCTCGTGTTAATGTGATGATTCAATGGGACTTTGTAGGAGCATTTGGATCAGGGAAGAGCAGAGCAGAGGTAAATTATTTTCTAAGCGAGTTTCGGTTTTCTCCTAATGCTCTGTTTGACGTAGTATCAAATTGTAGAAATGTTTTAATTGATTAAGCTCCGAATGTTTGGCAATACATTCAAAGGTCCTAGGTTCAGCCATTGAGGCTAAAAGCTTAGGCCTGGTTGATAACGATTTTGAGGTCTTTCCATACCATGTTTTCCTCCTTTCTTAAAGAAACACTTGAATGAATAACAAAACAAATAAACTTATAGGTAGAACTAGTGCTTATAAGTTTAATTTTAAATAAACAAAAAAAATCAAATCGTTATCAAACGAGTCTTTAGTAAATTAAAACCCATATTGTCTATGAGTTGGGCTTTGGGTAGACGTATCCTTTACGGGATCAGTGGCGTCGGTCATGAGTATATATATTGTAAGAAGCTAGTAGCCTTCAACAACATGGTTACAGAAAAATAATAGTAATGAACCAGGTCTAGAAAGAAACTATTCAATGGTTCTATGATGCCAGAGTCTTCATAATTCTTACTCTACTTTGAACTTGAGAGCATTTCTATTGAAATCCTTCTAATCTGATGCATGGGATGAATATGCATGTTTATGTGAGATAGTTTCTGCGGAAATCGTTAAAATACGTGCTGATGGTCGTGCGTTGAGACAGACAGTTAATTGGAATTGGAATTGGAATTGGAATTGGTCTCTTCTTATTTTCAGGTTGTTGGAAACTCTGTTGCTTTTGCATTAGGACTTGCTACGACCCTAGCGCTGTTAGGCATAGCAGCTTCCTTTGCTGGAAAGGCATATGGACAGATTGGCCAAGGATTACCATTAGCTGCTTCAGGCTTAGCTGTTATTATGGGCCTAAACCTCCTTGAGGTACTCATCAAACCTTGATTTTCTGTATCAACTACGAATTTAGTATGCATATCTTTGTCGCATTATAAATAGATATCAGTTTCACTTATATGTAAATATTACTCTGCGAATCTTTTGATGGATTGGTTGTATAATTGATCACGAATTGCACAGATAATTGAGTTGCAACTACCCTCATTCTTCGACAATTTCGATCCCCGTTCTGCTGCTGCCAACTTTCCATCAAGTAACTGGCACCTTCATTACTTGTTGACCACTTGCTTACTCATTTGAATGCTCTAACAAGCTTTTAAATTTGATGTGTTAGGCGTGCAAGCATATCTGGCCGGGCTAACATTTGCATTAGCAGCATCTCCTTGTAGTACTCCTGTGCTGGCTACTTTACTTGGATATGTAGCTACATCCAAGGTGCCTTAAATCATTTCTTATACTGATACGACTTTGATCTTAGTTTCAATAGATTGAATCATGTAATATGATATCGACCTGTTGTCATTTTTTATTTCACATCATAGTTTCTACCATATCATACACGAGAGCGTAAGAAGGTTATATTTGTTGGATGATGAAAGTCCTACATCGGCTAATTTAGGAAATGATCATGAGTTTATAAACAAAGAATACTCTCTCCATTGGTACGAGGTCTTCCCCTCCATTGGTATGAGGCCTTTTGGGGAAGCCCAAAGCAAACCCATGAGAGCTTCTCAAAGTGGACAATATCATATCATTGTGGAGAGTCGTGTTTGTCTAACATTATTAATTCTTTCCTTTTTAGCATTCCTGTTAGTGAGTACTCTCTTTATAACAGGATCCCATCGTTGGTGGAAGCCTCCTCTTGACGTACACAACGGGGTACGTCGTGCCGTTACTTCTTGCTGCCTCATTTGCTGGAGCATTGCAGGTAACATGGTGATATATATTAGGAAGGAGAATCATAAGAGTATCAGCTGAGCCCCATTGGGTTATCTTTTGATGCTCTAATTCATTATGGATTGATTTTGTGTTCTAAATGAGTGCAGAGCCTTCTGTCATTCCGCAAGTTCTCATCATGGATTAATCCTATAAGGTAATTCCTTTTAAACTCATACTTCATATGAATAAGATGAAGAGATAAATTGTTGATGGGTGGTGGTGGTGGTTGTATTTGTTGTTGATGCATGCAGTGGAGCATTACTGTTGGGGGGAGGTGTTTATAGTTTCTTGGACAGATTGTTTCCAGTCACAATGGCAATGTAAAACAGATTATTTCCAGTGTAAATGTTTATTCAACCTTCAATCATAATCATCTCTATTACCCACTTAGTGTAACGCTACCCGTTTCTTGGAGTTTCTTGGAGGCGTTATTTGAAATAACGTTGCATGTTGACGATGAAATTATCTATACTCTACTCTTCATCCTAATCGAATGTTTAAAAGTTTCAATAATACTCTTATAATTTCATAATTTTTTTTTTAAAAAAAACTCTCTAACGTTAACGAGTATATTTTAACTTTTACAAAAATGTACTCTTACAAAAATATTTTGTTACGTTTAAGGATGGTGTTAGATAAAATTTTTAAAAATTATATATTTGTAATAGAGGATTAATAATTTCTAATTGGACAGAATATGTTTATTAATTTAGTAACAAAATGTTTAAAAGAAAAAGAAAAAAAAAAAGACTTTTAATCTTTAATATAAACATCACCGCACAAACAGGAAAACAAAACCCACAATCCTTAATTCCATATCTAATAATATCTCTCTATTTATAAATTGAAAAATAAATAAGAAAATAAAGACAAAGGAAATGATAAAATTTCCTCCACAAACAAATTAAAAGGTGCCATTTTTTTATGTTTTTTTTTTTTTTTTTTTTTTTTTTTTTTTTTTTTTTTTTTTTTTTT